GAGGGTATCTAGGTTGGATTCTGGAAATCAGAGGAACTGGGTGGCACTGAATTCTGGGATTTAGTTCTGTGAGCTCCCATACTTGGGGAGGTGGCCAGGTTACATTTAATTGTTGGAATAAAATACTTCCTTTTCTATTTTACTTACATGGTTAAACTAATGAGAAATCTGTTGTAAGCATTATACCTGGGAAATGTGAAAGCTCATCCCTCCAGCATTGCTTTATGAGTCCTGTGAAAGTCTGAATGGTCTTGGGTACAGGAATTGTTTCAATGCATCACCTTTCTCTTGGTAAATTTGTGATGCAGATTCAGGGAGTGCCCCTGATAAATTATTTCCATTTATTTTGAATTTAATTTTCTGTTACAATAACTAGAAAGCTATCCTGCATTACATTGTTTCTATCTGAAAGCTCTTTGCAGTTCCCCTGCCCAGCCCTGGAATCTGTGTCATGCCAGATATCTCTGTCTGTGCTGGAAGGAAGAAGAGCATTTGTCAGGGTTGAAGGAGAAGGGAAGGGAAGGGCTAGTAGGAGGAGTGGTTGTCACCAGCTCTGCTTCCTGAACTGGCTACAGTGGATGAGGTTTCTTGTTACCCTGGACACCTCTGCTCTCTGAGATTGAAATTTTCTGCTAATATTTCACTAAACAGGCCTTCTAATCCTTTCTCTCTCTCCATGCTTTCGGGAACTCCTGGAATCCGAGTGTTGGTTTTTTTTTTTTTTATAGTTCCTGTAGGTTCTCAACAGTGTTTTTTAGATTTCTAATTTCCTCCTCTTGTCTTTGGTTTGACTGTGTGCTTTCCTGTGCTCTGTCTTCTAAGTCCAATATTCTCTCTTCTACCTCACTGATTCAGTGAGGTACCTCACTGCATTTTTATTTGTTCTACTGAATACTTCATTTCCTTTTGATTGCTCTTCAATATCTCAATTCCATGTTCTGCTGAATTCTGCATTTCCTTTTTATTCTTCCTTAAGATTTTAATTTCTGAAAGATGTTTTTTTATGTCCTGCATGGATTTCAGCAGTTCATGTATTTGCTTTTGATTCCTTTTATGTAATCTTATGATCAATGTTTTGAGTTCCATTTCCTGAATTTCTTCTATCTCATTCTCTTCATAAACTTGTATTGAAGTGTCATGTTCTTTTGGGAGGGTCATGTTGTCTTCAATCCTCTTGTTTCTTGGATTGTTGCATTTGTTGTTCAGCATTTGTGGAGATACCCATTGGTTTCTTCTTATTTTCTTCTTCTACTACTTCTCCTCCTCTTCTTTTTCTGATGTGACAGCTTTGATCATTTCACTACAACTCTGTAGATAAGTGGTCTATCTGTTTTCAGTGAATCTTTAGAGGCTTGTAGGTATGGCCAGAGAGCTCTGTTCAGTTCTCCAGGGTCAAGGGCATGCCTAAGGTGACACACCAAGGTTTGGTGTGGTAAATCTTCTCTCTCTCTCTTTTTAAACTGAATGGAAGTATATTCTGCTCAGCTGAGCTCTTCTCCTTGCTGGAGACCAGTGGCTGAGTGCTAGTCCCGGTGGGTATATTATTCATCTGCTCTGTCCCAAGGAACACACAAAGGATCTGTGCAGCCCTCAGTGTAAGTTCAGAATCCCTAGCAATGTCTCTCACCAGATAACCAGGACCTTGCAAACTTGTGTCATATCCCACTGAGGCTGCTCAAAGTCCCAGACACACCATACGTTCTCCCATACACCCTTAGTTGTTTTTTTTTTTTTTTTCACAGTCTGGTTCAGAAGCTTCACACAGTCATAAGCTCCTAGCCCCTTGTTATTTCTCCTCTCCAGAGTCAGGAGTCTCTGCTCGTCCTGTTTCCAGGCACACACATGAGCTTGCACAGCTGTTATGTATGTCCAAAATGGTGCACTGTTATGTATGTCTAAAACTGTACGCCTTTGTAACATGATAAAAGAGAAATGTGTCTGTACCGTCCTTTTTATATCTCTCTGCTCTGGTTTGGCTGATACACTTTCCCTCACGGTGTTTTTTGACTCATTCGCTCTAGGCCCTTCCTGCCACTTGTTTTCTAGTGGCTCTGGCTACTGCAGTCTCATGTCACCTCACTTTCCAGGAATGGTGCATAGGCTCTAGGCTGTCAGAGTCCCAGGCTGTGTGTGCCCACACCCTCCATGTAGGTCCACTGTGTCCCTCTAATTTCAGTAGTGTTTCCTCTGCCATTTTTTCTCTAACTCTTCCCTGAGACTACACTATCTCCATTTTTTAAAACTCTCTTCTCCTCGCTAGAGCAATAAGCTCCCTCCTTATTCTGCCATCCTGGAATCACCCATCTGTCTTTTTCTTTCACTCTGCTATTCAAATAAAAATAAAGTTTATAAGAAGTTTGTGGTTTTTTTTTTGTTCCAGCAGTGTGTGTGAGGAACCTAATCTCTCAAGCTCTTGAGAAACTGCTGAGTTGATTTTTCTCTTCCTTAACAGGCAATATATCAGCCTCCACATTGTCCACAGTCTTAGTACCTGCCTGCCCTTTGGTTTACCAGGAGCCCCAGCAGCATTTCATGAATCCCCTGAGCTTGCCATGTGTTCACCCCTCTGGGCCTTTGCATCTGTTGTTCCTGGCATGCATTCTTGGCTTCACTGCCTGGAAAACTCCAACAATTGGTTTTTGTCACCACCCCTGTGAAGCCTACCCCTGCCCCCTGCATCCAGTCACGTCGGCATTGGTCCCCTGTGTCTCGACCTTGTGGTGTAGTCGGGACTTCCGCATCAGGGACAGCTGCCAGGGCTTCTAGTGCAAGTGGTTTGCTGAAGAGCTCAGGCTTTGAGTCGAGAGGTCTGGGTTTCCATCCAGTGTTGGTCCACATGTGCTTTGGTCCTTGGTTGGCAGCGTTACTTTTGGAGCCTGATTAATAATCTCTGAGTTGGGGTTTGTGATGTCTACTCCAGCTTCTGATGATCATTTAAGGACCTCAGGGACAGTCTGTGGCACAAATAATTGGTTCCTGCCACCCATAAGGGAGACCCAGATTGAGTTCCTAATCCCATGCTTTAGTGTTGTCCTGTTTTGGCCATTGAGGGCATTTGAAAAGTGAATCAGTTAATGGGAACCCCTGTGTCATGGTGGAGGGGGGTGGCGTTTTGGCATAGCAGGTAAAACTTCCACCTAGGAAATCAGCATCCACTAAGAGCATGGGTTTGAGACCCTCCTGATCCATTTTCAGTGCAACTCCCTATTAATGGCCTAGGAAAAAGAACAGAGGGTGGCCCAAGTGCTTGAACTCCTGTCCCCCATGAGGGAGACCCATATGATGCTCCTGGATGCTGGTTTTGGCATGGGCCAGCTCTGGCCATTTCATGCCTTCTGGGGAGTGAATCATCAGATGGAATCTCTTTCTGTACCACCCTTTCTCTTTGTACCTATGCCTTTCAACTAAATAAATAAATCTTTTAAAAAATAATGGGAAATACATATGATGAGTAAGGTATGCTGAGTTTTCAAATTGTTGCGCCAAACTTTGTTATTTTCTTTTTCCCTGAACTTTTCATACAACTTGCACTTTTTACAGATGCATTTATTTGAAAGGCAGTGTTACAGAGAGTGATATACTATGAGAAAGAGAGAGCAAGCACCCACTGTTTTGATCCCCAAACGGCCACAATGGCCAGGGCTGGGCCATGTTGAAATCATGAACCAGAAGCTCAATCCTATTTTCCCAGTTGACATCAAGGGCCCAAAGACTTAGGCCATGTGCTGCTTTCCCAGGCACATTAGCAGGTAGCTGAGTGAGTAAAAATCCTCACAAGAGTGACCATTCTGGACCCTGGCTAGGCCATGGATTTGTAGGACTCTTGTGCACTGTAAGTCATAAGCATGCTGACCTCTGGCTTGGGGACTTAGTGAGTGAGTGGTGTAGGGGCCTGCTTAGGGACTGTGCCCTGGAGGGCACATCACTGGGTGTTAGGAGTGTAGGCCGTTCAGTATGTATCAGGAGGCTGAAGGTGCTGGGCTGCCTGGAACTGCAGTATGGGATGGGAGCTTCTACGCTGAGGGGAGGGACAATTTGGACTAAATCCAGAGAGAGAGGGAGGCCTGCTGAAGACCCCTTCTCTAGCACACACAAGGCTGTCCCCTGGTTCCTGACAGGGTTGGGTGTTCTGAGAAAAGGTATTCTACAACTTCCCCAACCTATATTTGGTGGAATGGGGATGAGATGAGGAGGGTAGGAAGCTGTTGCTGCCCCTCAAGTGGAGATGACCTGACATTATGGGCCAGGTAGTCCTTTGCAGCCAGAGCTGAGGTGCTTGGGTATGACTTCCTGGCTGACATATAGCCATTGGGTATGGCTCACTTGTGCTGTTAGCCAAGGCCTCAGCAGGCAGATGAAAGGTAGCTTCCCAAGCAGTGGGTGGAAGCAGTTCACCCACCATGTGCTCAGGAGAGTGTGTGGGATCCCGTTCCCCACATCCAAGACAGCCAATGTCAGCCATACATCTATTCCTGTATCCTGCACACTGAGTTCCACATGCTCACACATGCTCACATTGTTGAGACATCTGCTGCTGGTTTCTCAGACACATTAGCAGGGAGCTTGGTTGGAAGTGGAGTAGCCAGGACTAAGATCAGCACTCATACAGGATGCTGGCCTCGCAGGTGGTAGCTTAACCCACCCACGACAGCAGCCCCAGGCATGCTGAGACGTCTTAAGAAGGCCCTTCCTTGTGAGAACACCTTAAGAAAGCACCATCTTATTCTGAAATTAACATCTGGATGTTGGACAAAGTTGTAATACTTGTGCAACCTTTTGACACCTACACCTAGGATGAATTGCCCACACTAGGCCATCAGCCTTTTCATTTCCTTATCCTTTTTTTTTTTTTTTTTTGAGAAGGCACCACCTTAAAAGCATAAAGTGAGACTTTCTCAGATAGTAAATCTGCTGGGCCTTGACCTTAGACTTCCCAGCCCTCAAAACAGTGAAGAATCAATATGTGTTCTTTTTTGGTTACCCAGGTCAGGGCCTTGTAACACTAACCTAAAAGGAATCATGGAATGACTTTGCTTTCTCCTTACGTTTTGAAGCACAGGTTTGGGGCCTATGAATTTCAGTTTGCTGTTTCTTGGCCTTCTACTCTGGACTACATCAGCCCACTCTAGGGTTTCTGAGGAGCAAAGTGATGATGAACTTCAGGGTAAATGATGAAAGACACTTCCCTCTCAACTCTATGATAGGAAGAATGCACCTGATGGTGCCTTGGGCAACGTGACATTTTGTTGAAATGTCATGATGCCCGTCTTGTGGTACCAACATGCTGAGACCGCTTGTGTAAGATATTTTGAGTATAGACTTAGGAGGTCTATAAAAGCCGAGAGTTATTACAAATTTTTAAACTAGAAAGGCAAAGTCCATTGAAACAGCCTATAGTTATTAATCTCTCCTAAACTAAATGTCAGCCTCTAGCACCGCTTTAAGCAAAAAGCTTTTGGGGTCCTTTCCCTTTAACCAGTGGTCAGTTCTTCAGAAAACCACCAAGGAGTGTTGCCAGCTGTGATTGGTCTATCTGTTGCCCTGACATCAGGAGAGCCATTGTGATGTCATTCCAACTGCCTAACAGCTCCCTGGCTTGGCCTAGGTTCTTGTTCAGTTGGCCCAGGAAGCTCTTTGGAGGCAGCCTGAAGGACTTGGACGACATTACTGGTTTTCTCTTGTCTTGTTTTTGTTTGCTTTGTTGTTTTGTCTGTCTGGTTTATTTGTTCTTTCTACTACGTTGGTTCTTATTTTCTATTTTGCTTTGTTCTTTTTTCTATTTTTCCATCTCTCTGCCCCTCCCATTTTTACTTTGTATTCTGTGTATTTATTTTCCTTAAATATTCATTCACTTATTTTTTTTTATTGTCACAGGCTAAATGCATTTTGTTGTTTTCATTTTGTCCTTTTTGCTGTGTTTCCCCCATTTTGTGATTATTTTCTCATTTTTGATCCTTTGATCTAAATAGGACCATTATAAGACTTATTGATTAGAATTGTTACCATAGTTAATATAGTTGGTATTGTTTTACTTTTTAGCATTTTTAGCATTCTGTGTGTTTTCTAACTTGTAATTCTTAATTTTGATACAATTGGTTTAGTGATTAATATACTGTAGTTCATATAGTTAGCATTCTTGGTTACAAATATTACCATACTGAATCTTGTTAATTTTAATTGTGTCAGTTTTGTTTGTTTGATTTTCATTTGTTTCCCAGTTTTCATTGTTACCTAAGGTGACTGTTAAGAGTTTCTAGTGTAACACTGCAGGGGTGGGTACCTCCCACAATGGAAGGCCTCACAGCCTTCAACAGTGAGGAGGAGGTCCTGGATGGGTACCAGGTCCTCAAGATCACCGGCAAGGGCAGTTTTGGGCAGGTGGCACTGGCCCATCATCTGGAAAGTGGGACCCAGGTGGCTGTGAAGATGATTGCGACAGGTGGCCAGAACTCCCGCAGGTTCCAGCAGTTCTGTGCAGAAGCAGAAATAATGAAGGGACTGCATCATCCTCACATTATAAAACTGTTGCAGCTAAGGCACACGGCACAGAGAGGCTACATTTTTATGGAGTATGCGATCAAGGGAGACCTTAGATGTTACCTGATAGAGCGAGGCTGCCTACAGGATGAGGAGATACGCCCGATATTTTACCAAACATTATCAGCTGTGCATTACTGCCACGAGCAGCGCATCGTGCACAGAGATTTAAAGCTAGAAAATCTCCTTCTAGATGACAATCTGAATATCAAGTTGACTGATTTTGGGCTCAGCTGCAAACTGGCTGATGGAGAACACCTGAAGTGTTTGCGTGGGACCCTTCATTATTGTGCCCCGGAAGAATTCCGAGCTGAGGCGTTCAATGGGTACAAGGCTGATGTGTGGAGCCTGGGCGTGGTCCTGTACACCATGGTGACCAAGTCACTACCTTTTGAAGGGAAGGATTTTGTACACCTGAAGGAAACCATCCTGTCCGCATACTACAGAATCCCCAGCTATGTCAACATTGAGCTTGAGAACCTGTTGGACAGGTTACTGACCCGAAACCCTGAGGAGAGGCCCACAGTGGCAGACATCATGGGCCACCAGTGGCTCCGTGTAGGACATAAAGCACCTGAAACAAGTGAAGAGTTTCTGTTTCCTCCCAAGGAACAGGAAATATGGGAATTCCCATGGGGCCCACGCTCTCAATCGTGCCTTAAGGAAAGGGATGACCCCTTGTCCTCTGTGCCACACTGTGTGAAATCCCCACAGAAGGGCTACAGCATGCAGGAACTATGGGGACACAGAGAAGTGGAGCCTGTGGTGTCTCCTCAGGGTCCCGAAGCTCTAAGCTGCCTTGAGGACCTTGGCTTCCAGCTGGACCATAAAGCAGGCTCCCTGCCACCCAGGCTCCAAGCCACTTCCTTGCCCGCTGTGCTGCAGAAGGGCCACACCAAAGTGAAGCCCATGCTTCAGGCCACCCCCGCTGCTCAAAGCTGTCCCATTCTCCAGTGCCTCCCTGGTCACTCAGACGGCAACATCAGAGCCCATGAGTGTGCCCTTTGCAACTCCCAACCACTGCTGCTTGAAGAGGAACAATCAGGGCAGAATGCCTGCCACCGTGCTCCCAGTATGTCTAGCAGTGTGTCCTGCAGGCCAGACAGTCCCCAAATGGCCATGTTGCCAAGGATCCTCGCAGCCTGGGCAGCCCCCAGCAAGGACTCTCTGACCTCCCTCTCCATGCTGAACAGCAACAGCAGTGACGATCATTTCGAAGTCAGGAGCTGCTCCCGGGGAGCATCAGAGAAACAGAGCATCCCAGGAATGCAACAGGAGGAGGGGACCTCAGACACTCAGGCGAAAAAGAGCAAGAGTCGCCAGGGGATTGGCAGGAGGATTGTCAGATTCTTCACCTGGATATGTTGTATCCTGCCAGCCCCAGAGGAAAGCCCTTGAGTCCAGAGTGGAAAGTGGCATCTCTGTAGCCTCTTGGGAGATGCCCAAGAGGAGGAGCTCTTCCATGAGAAGTGAAACAATTAAGAGGTAGTCATGGAAACTTTTCTGGGAAGTGGGGAGGTGAGGAAAGCAGTAAGAGAAATGACAGGCATAGAGAGAATATACTGTCACAGCTTTCAGATAGTCAGCAAGGTAACGTGTTTTCATTGTTAGGCGCGATGGCCATTTCCCAAGAGAGAGAAGAAACGGACACGTGGTGTTCAAGTGTGTTTAGAAAATGAATCCATTAATGTCACTCCCTAATGAAACTCCCTGTACCCAGGCCTTATTAGAGCCCTTCCTTAGACCCCCTCCTGGCTAGCAGCAGGAGTATCAGTTTCTCAAGAATACCTGCTTTTGTTTTTGCTCCCCCACCCTCTTGATCCATGTTGTGATTATTTATTGCTGTGAGACAAGGAAAGGACTGAAAATTCCTGCAGCGTCGTTGATGCCATGACTTGGATCGACTCAAATCCATTGGAAGGGCGAGTAAAGCAGACTGATCGCTTCCCTGGTTTTTGGAAAAATTCTAATCTTCTACATAGTCAAATTTTCTTTTAAAACACCAGGTCTCTTTGATCCGGTTAAAAGCAATTTGTGTGGGCTGCTGATTTTAAGATACAGGGCCTAAGGTGGATGGCACTCCTTGTCTTCCTCCCACTTTATTCTTGGGTTATTGTCTGCATTATGTGCTCAGGTAGCTCTCTCTGCCCTGTGACCTCTCCTGTTTCTGAGTTTCATTCTGCAAGCCCAAGTTCCCAGTCCCGTGGATGAGAAACTTCTGAGACAATTCGTGGCTCCTGGATCAGAACTGAGGAGCCTGCCTTGCAGACCTAGGTGTCCTCTCCCATTGAGCTGCCTTCTTGGCTGCCCCAAAGTACTCATGACCCGCATGTATGGCAAGAAGTCATCTGGCACATTAACCAGTGCCCACAGTTTCCATTTTCCTGCCCAGGTTTTTCTTTGCCAAAGAACATGTTTGAAATAAATCTTTCCCAGAGCCATGCTCTTAAAGCTAACACATTGGAGAAAATTTCTATCATCATACCACCCCATTTCCCCCTCTGCACATTCAGCAGTCTTGGCAGCAAGGACCACTTGCCCTCCTTCTAAACTTTGGCACTGAAGGTGTTAATTGAGACCCCCGTTGTAGAAACTCATTTCCAAATTCAGACATCTAAGACAAGTCACTTACAAGTGGCTGTGCTTGGGCTGCCTTCTCAAGCACTGGGATTCCTTTGACTGCCAGAATTTTAAAAAAAGAAAAGTTTGTGCTATTTCTGTACCATGTTTGTACCATGATACAAGCTAAAGGATGAAGAAAATTGGTTTCCTAAGGAACCTATTTTGCCTAGCGTCTGTCTCACTTTCTGCTACAATATGCTCCCATCTCACATCTTTCCTCCTGAGGATTCCTTAAGAATCCATTACCAGGTTGTGGAGCCAAAGTTCGGTTGTCCTTATAAATGGTCCCACTCCACTGTGGTGGCTGGTTTCAAATTCGTTTGTGGTTTGTTAACTTCACCCTTTTCTCTAGTGTGAGATGGGAGGAGAAAGTGTTTCCCTCTCTCAATACAGTATTCCTCTATAGGAAGGAGTCTCCCTGACGACTCCCCTCCCTCACTATGGCATTTGGATGTTTAACACCTCATGCCATGATGATGCCAGACTAATGTATCTTGTAGTAATTTAGTTCAGCTGTACCTGGACATCGGCTTTAAAGTGATTGCTGCCTTTTGAAGCTTAAATATCACTGCCTTGAGAAAGTTACTTTGTAAGTTTCCAAACTGTTTTGCAATTTGGTGAAACTGGTTTGGATAACACAACAGTGAGTGACTGGAGTCAGATTTTATAACCTTTCAGCTGTATTTTACAAAATAGGAAATGTAAGTTTCAACCTGTGAAACAAAAACATGGTGTTTCCCTGTGACAGTGCTTGGCATTGGTACTCACTGAGATTGAATGCTCACTCAATGGATGCCTTGTCTACGTCATTGCTCTCCAGCTTAATGCTGTTTAATAGAAATAATGGGACTGGGTTCTACGTATCCAAGTTTTATGCTAGTAGACCAAAGTGAGCTAATACAGAGTGGCTTAAAACATAACTTATTTGATGTGATAAATCTTCTATTCAAGATTTTCACTTTGCTTTTTGTGACCAACAAAGAAAACAAAGAGTTTTTGAAACATTTATTTTTGAAATGTTATGCATGTTATACAATTTTCATATAGTTCCTATATACAGATTTATAGTGGGAACATAGTGAGACTCACATTCCAGGCTCCTCCCCCATCTTGGTTTCCTATTCTTAATTTTGACAGTGATCTATCATTGTTATAATTAGTGATCATATAGTTAACCCTAGTCTAAGTATAGGAGTTCAGCAAATAGTATGAAGAGAAAGAAAACAAAAGAAACTAAACAAAGATCACTCCTCAATGGAAGAGACAGCACTCTAAACAATCATCCACTCTCAAAATGTCAGGTAACCTGTGGGTCAGGCCAAAGTCAGGAGCTAGGATCTCTATCCAGGTGGCCCACACAGGCAACAAGGGTACAAGTGCTTGGCCCATCTTTTGCTACTCTCCTGCATATGTTAGCAGGAAGGTGGATCAGAAGTGGAGCAGCTGTGACACACACAGGCACTCACATGGGATGATGACATTGCAGGCTGTCTTAACTCGTGTATCACAATGCCAGTCCCACGGGTTGTTCTTTATCTGGATTGTGATAGCAGGCCCACAACTGTATACATTCCTCAAAGCTTACAGAAGTATATGCTTGAGTTTGACTTGAATTGATAAAGAAAAAGGGAAAAATGAGGCCAGGCTCTGGGATTTCTGAGAGCTTTGCAATCCTTGACTTTTCATCTTTTTCATCTTCCAGATACGTGTTTCTTGTCAGGAGCTCCCCTCCTCTGATCCTGTTTCCCCTGAGGAGAGCTAGAAGAAGAGTCTGAAAAGCCTTTGTGACAAGTTGGAGTCTGGAGTTCCCAGGATGATGAAAGCCAACCGTGTGCCTGCCCAGAGAAATTGTGCTTGGATACATCCACCTCCTCGTAAGTGTTAGTGATAAAGCTGCTTTCAAGCCACTGGCTGTCCGGGGGATGACCGACAGGGCAAGCTGTCCCCTGTGTCCCATGTGGCTACAAGAAGTCTGGGAGCCACTGTCAAGCCCCACAAGCTAATATTAGCCACAGGAGCCATGCTCAGGAACTTTTCCCTTGCATTGAGAAAAATGTTTATTTTTTTCATTTTATAAAAATTTGCACTAACATACAAAACACAGAATTCACCACCTTAGCCCTTTTTAAGTGTACAGTTGAATGGCCTGAAGTATAGTGATATGGTTGTGTGACCATTGCTTTCCATCTCCTGAAGTTGTTCCTCCTACAACATTGCAACTATCTTCATGAAACACCCAGTCCCCATGCCATCACAGCACCTTGCTTACCCCTAGTTCCAGCCTCTATGAATGGGAGAAGTTTGCCTTCTACATATTAGACTGTATTTGTCTCTTTCAATCCCATTTTATTTAATTGTCTATTGGAAGTCAGAGAGAAAGACAGCGCCCATCTGCAGCTTCATTCCCCAGATGCCTGCAATGGCCAGGACTGGGTTGGGCTGCAGTCAGGAGCTTGAAGTTCAACCCATGTATCATATAGGTGAATGGAGCCCAGAAATTTGAGCCATCGCCTGCTGCCTCTCATAGTCTACAATAGAATAGAGTTGGGTCAGGAGATGGAGATTGGAGTCAAACCCAGTTTTTGTGATATAGGGCACAGGTATGCTAACTGGCCTATTAACTGACTGCTAAGCTAAACATCTGCCCTCAGTATTTATCTTGCTGTGGCTGAGTTTTACTATAGGAACTCAAGTTTATTCATGTATCGGCAAGTGTTAGACTGTCCTTCCTCTTAAAGGCTGGATAATACTCCATTGGTTAGGTGGATGACACTGCTTATCTAGTCACATTCTGCTAATGGACAATTGGAGTCTTTCTACATATGGGTTACTGTGAAATAATGGTACTGTGAACGTGTGCAGATAACTCATTGAGACCATGTTGTCAATTCAGTTTATAAGATCTGTATATTTGAAAGAGAGAGAGGGAGAGAGAGAGAGAGAGAGAGAGAGAGATTGATCTATCTTCCATCCAGTAGTTGGCTTCTCAAATGCTGATAAAAGCCAGTGCTTGGCCAGGCCAAACAGGACCCTATAACTCCATGCTGTTCCCCCATGTGGGTGGCAGGGACCTATGCATTTGAGTCATTATCTGATACCTCCCAGGGTGTGCCTTTGCAGGAAGCTGAAATGAGAAGCAGAGGTGGGACTTGAATCCAGGCACTTGGATATAGATGCAGGCATCCCAAGTGATGTCTTAGTGGCTGGGCCAAACAGCTTGCCCCATCGTTTCCCCTTTTGATAATCTACATCTCGGGGCTTTTGTTCTCTTACGTACATTAGGAGCACATTCCAGGTCTACTACACTAAAGGCTAGGGAGCTGCACAATGATGAACTACGATGGGGCTGGCACGGAAGTGCAGCTGTTTACGTTGCTGCTGGTAAATCCAGCATCCCATATCAGAATGCCATATTGAGTCCCAGCTACACTGCCTCATATACAGCTCCTTGTTAATGTATACTCTGGGAGTCAGAACGTGATGGCTGAAGTGCCTGGTCAATTGCAACCCATGTGGGAGGCCAGGATGGGGTTCAGGGCTCCTGGCTTTAACCTGGTTCAGTTCTGGCCATTGCAGACATGGGGAGTGATCCAGTGGATGGAAGGCCTCTCTGTCTCTCCAAATGTCTGTCTGCCTTTCTTTGTCTTTGTCATCCTTTCTGTCTGATGCTGTCACCCTGCCTTTCAAATTAATATGCCTTTAAGAAAAATTAGGAGGTACCAGAAAGTGGGGATCAACAGTGGCCAATATTGTGGCACAGCAAATTAAGGTGCTGCCTGCAACCATGGCATTTGATCCGAGTGCATGTTTGAGTCCCATTTTCTCCAGATATGATTTAGGTCCTTGCTGACATGCTTGGGAAAGCAGCAGAGGATGACCCAAGTCCTTATGCCTCTGGTTCCTTATAGGAGACCTGTTGAAGTTCCAGGCTCCTTGGTGTGACTGGCGCAGCTCCAATACTTGTGGCCATTTGTGAGAGTACCAGCAGACAGAATCTCTCTCTCTCTCTCTCTCTCTCTCTCTCTCTCTACCTCTGTCTCTGTCTCCCTCCATCTCTCTCTCTCTGCCCACTCCTCCCTCTCTCCCTCCCTCCCTCCCTCTCTCCTTCCCTCTTTCCCTCCATCCCTCCATCCCTCCCTCTTCCTTCTTTCTCTGTCTCTTTGTAAATCTGCTTGAGATTAAATAAAACTTAAAAACTTTTATTTTGTCACTTTGGTGTGTGTGTGTCTGTGTGTGTGACTGAGAGAAATCAAGAAGATCTTCCATCTTTTGGTTCACTCCCCAATTACCTGCAACTTCTGGAGTTTGTCCAGGTCTAAGCCAGTCACCTTGGAGCTCAATCCAAGGTGTCACATGTCAGTGACAGGAATCCCAGTTCTTGAACCGTCTCCTGCTGCCTAGCATGTTATAAATTACAAGACTTTGGATGGGAAATGAGCTGTGAGAAATCTAGGGAGTCTGGGGGCTGGCTTTTTTTTATATAACCATTTAAACTGCTGCTTGGGATGTGATATCTCATGTGAGTGCTTGTTCCTGTTCTGGCTGCTCCACTTGCAACACAGCTCCCCACTATTGCACCTCGGAAAGCAGTGTAATATGGTCCCCTGGGACCCTGCACCTAATTGGTAGACCCAGGTGAAGCTCCTGGTTCCTTATTTTGGCTTGGCCCAGTCGAAGCTGTTGTGGCCACTTGCAGAGTGAAACTGCAGATGAAAAAGACCTCTCTCTCTATGTCTCAGTCTCCCTCCCTCCCCCACCTCTTTATCGCTGTCTCTCTCTCTTTTTTTAGATTTATTTATTTGAAAGGCAGAATTAGAGAGAGAGTCAGAGAGTGGTTTTTATCTATTGGTTGCCTCCCAAGATGGTTGCAAAATCAGGGCTGGGCCAGGAACCCATGGGTGCTGGGGCCCAAGCACTGGGCCATCCTCTGCTGCATTTCCAGTACACTAGTAGAGAGCTGCATTGGAAGCAGAACATCCAGGACTCAAACCACTGCCCATTTTGGATGCTGACACCACACTATGGATGCAAACCTGTACCACTATGCCATGGCATCAGCCCAAAGTAAATAGATAAATCTTTATCTAAAAAACATTAGGCATTCCGCGATGGGATGTAGGCATCCAAAGCAGTGTTCTAAACATCGTGCAAGGACCCTTCCCCTGGAAGCTATATTTCTCTAAGTCGGCCACTCATTTTATGGTGTGTTTTTTGCTAGACACAGAAACCCATGTAATACCCAAATATTCTTGAAGAGGTGAATGGGGGCAGGCAGAAGCTGAAAGGGTTACACAATTGAATACCACTCAGCAGCAGAACAGAGAAAGCTTTGGGGCCATGCGATAATGTGGAGAATCTGAAAGTATTTTGCTGAATACCAGAAACCTCTCTCATAAGGTTTCCAGAGTACCGCTGGTACAGTGTTCTCCAATATGCAAACCTTTTGTGTTGTGTCCCATGGTATACCTATGCCATAATTTCTTTATCCTGTCTTTGGTTGACAGACATCTGTGTTGATTCTATATCTTAGCTACTGCGGATTGAGCAACAATAAACATAAACATAGTGGTACAGATAACTCTTTAATATGCTGATTTCATTTCCATTGGGTAAATTCCCAGGAGAGGGATGGCTGGGCCATGTGATAGGTCTATATGGAGATTTCTGAAGTGTCTCCTTACTGCCTTTTTTTTTCTCTTTTACAATGGCTGGCTGATTTTTCATTCCTCCACAGTGGATTAGGGCATTTTTTCCCCACATCCTCACCAGCATTTGTCATTTGTTGATTTCTGCATGAAAGCCATTCTAACTGGGATGAGATGGAACCTCATTGTGATTTTGATTTGCATTTCCCAGATGGCTAATGATCCTGTGCCTTTTTCACGTGTCTGTTGGCGATTTGGATGTCCTCTTTTGAAAGTCTGTTCACATCCTTTGCCCATTTCTTAGCTGGATTGTTTTGTTGTGGTTGAGTCTTCAGCTCTTTATATATTCTGGATATTAATCCTTTATCAATTGTATAGTTTGCAGATATTTTCTCTCATTCTGTCAGTTGCCTCTTCACTTTGCTGAGTGTTTCTTTGGCAGTGCGGAAGTGTCTCAATTTGATGTAATCCCATTTGTCAAATCTGGCTTTGATTGCCTGTGATTCTGGGGTCTTTTCCAAGAAGCTTTTGCCTATGCCAGTGCCTTGCAAGGTTTCCCCAATGTTCTGTAATAATTTGATGGCTTCACTTCTTAGATTTATGTCTTTGATCAATCTTGAGTGGATTTTTGTGTAAGGTGTAAGGTAGTGGTCTTTCTTCATACTTGGCGAAAGTGGAGTTTGTAGTTCTCACCGCAGCATTTGTTGAAGAGACTGTCCTTGGTCCAGGGATTGATTTTAGTTCCTTTGTTAAAGGTAAGTTGGGTATAGAAGCATGGATTGATTTCTGGAGTTGCTCTTCTGTTCCCTTGGTCAGCCTATCTGGTTTTCTTTGCCAGTGCCAGGCTGTTTTGATTATAACTGCCCTTTAGTATGTCTTGAAATCTGGTATTGTGATGCCTCCAACTTTGTTTCCGTTGTACAAACTGTTTTAGCTATTCTGGTCTCCTGTGTTTCCCTATGAATTTCATGATTTTTTCTAGATCTGAGAAGAATGTCCTTCTAGATCTGAGAGGAATGGCTTTTGGTAGTTGGACATTTTAATGATATTGATTCCTCCAATCCAGGAACAAGGAAGATATTTCCATTTCTTGGAGTCATCTCCTATTTCTTTCTTTAATGTTTTGTAATTTTCATCATAGAGATCTTTGATATGCTTGGTTAAATGTATTCCAAGGTATATTTTTTTGTACCTATTTTGAAAAGGAATGATCTTAGAAGTTCTTTCTCAGCCATGGCTTGCCTGTGTATACAAAGGCTATTGATTTGTGTGCATTCATTTTCTATCCTGACATGTTGTGAAACATTTTCATGAGTTCCAGTAGTCTCTTAGTGAAGTCTTTTGGGTTGACTCTCTGTAGAACCATCTTATCTGCAATCAGGGACAGTTTAACTTCTTCCTTCCCAAGTTGTACCTCTTGGACATCTTTTTCTTCTTTAGTGGCTCTGGCTAAAACTTCCAGGAGTATATTGAATAGGCATGGTGAGAGAGTGCCTCCTTTTCTGGTTCTGGATCTTAGTGGGAATGCTTCCAACTTTTCCACATTGAATGAGATGCTGGCTACGTGCTTGTCCTAAGTTACCTTGGTGGTATTGAGGAATGTTCCTTCTATACCCAGTTTGCTTAAGGTTTTCATCATGAAAGGAGGCTGTATTTTATCACATGCTTTCTCTGCTTAAATTGAATAACCACATGGTTTTGGTTCTTCAATCTATTAATGTGATGCATCACACTTATTGACTTGTGGATGATTAATCACCCTTGCGTACCAGGAATAAATCCTACCTGGTCTGGTAGAATGATCTTTCTGATGTATTGCTGGATTTAATTGGCTATTAGTTTGTGGAGGATTTTTGCATCAATGTTCATTAGGAAAACTGGTCTACAGTTCTTTTATTCTGTTGTATCTTTTTCTTGTGTAGGAATTAAGGTGATGCTAGCTTCATAGATGGAGTTTGGGCGGATCCCCTCCATTTCATTGAAATGCCTGGTAGACGTAGCAGTAAAGCCCTCTGGTCTGAGCTTTTCCTGGTTGGGAGCGTCTGTATTAGTGAATCAATTTCCTTCTTGGTGATTGTTCGGTTTAGGTTTTCTATGTTTTCATGACTCAATTAGGTTGGTTGTATGTGTCCAGGAATCTATCCATTTCTTCTACAATCTTGATTTTTTGGCATACAGCTCTCTGTAGTAATTCTAGATGGTTCTTATTACTTCTGTGGTATATGTTGTTACATTTCTTTTTTCTTCTCTGTTTTATTAGCTTGGGATTTCCCCCCAGCCTTTTTTTTTGGTTACTTGGGGCAATGGTGTATCAATTTTGTTTATTTTTTTGAAAAGGCATCTCTTCATTTTGCTGATCTTTTGTAGTTTTCATTTCAATTTTGTATGTTTCTTCTCTGATTTTAATTATGTCTTTTCTCCTATGGATTTGGGGTTTGGTTTGTTGTTTTTCTAGGTCCTCGTAATGCCTTGATAACTCATTTATTTGGTGCCTTTCAAATTTCTTGATGTAGGCAGCAATCACTAATCACTTCCCTCCTTTTTTTTTTTGACAGGTAGAGTTATATGCAGTGAGAGAGAGGCAGAGAGAAAGGTCTTCCTTCCGTTGGTTCACTCCCCTAATGTCCGCTTCAGGTGGCGCTTTGCCGATCCAAACCCAGGAGCCGGATACTTCCTCCCGGTCCCCCATACGGGTGCAGGGACCCAAGCTCTTGGGTCATCCTCTGCTGCCTTCCCGGGCCACAGCAGAGAGCTGGACTGGAAGGGGAGCAATGGGGACTAGTACCCAGCACTCCAACCAGGTTAGAACCTGGGGCGCCAGTACCTCAGGTGGAGGATTAGCCAAGTGAGCCCCGGCCCCGGCCAATCACTTTCCTTTTCACATTGTTTTTGCTGTTTACCATAAGTTTGGATAGGATGTAATGTTGACTTCTTTGGTTTCCAGAAGTGTTTTTTAAAGGTTTGATTATTTTATTTGAGAGTTAGAGTTACAGACAATGAGAGGGCGAGACAGAGAGAAAGGTCCTTCCATTGGTTCACTCCCCAAATGGCTGCAATGGCTGGAGCTGTGCAGATCCACAGCCAGGAGCTAGGCGCTTCCTCCTGGTCTCCCACCTTTATGCAGGGGCGCAAGGACTTTGGACATCTTCTACTTCTTTCCAAGGCTATAGCAGAGAGCTGGACTGGAAGAGGGGCAGCTGGGACTAGGACCGGCACACATATGGGATGCCAGCGCCACAGGCAGAGGATTAACCTACTGTGCCATCACGCTGTCCTTTCCAGAAGTTTTTGACTTCTCTTTTTATTTCTCTTATGGTCCACTGTTCGTTCGGGAAAATGTTGTTCAGTCTTCATGTATTTGCATGCATTCTAGTTGTACTTCATTTGATGATTTCCAGCTTCCTTCCATTGTGGTCTTGTGATGCATGGTATGATTTTTTTAATTTACTGAGACTTGCTTTATGACCTAGCATGTGGTCTATCCTAGAGAAAATTCCATGCACTTGGGCCATCTTCTACAATTTTCCCAGGCCGTAGCAGAGAGCTGGATCAGAAGTGAAGCAGCTGGGACTTGAACTGGGGCCCACATGGGATGCTCTCACTGTAGGCAGTATCTGCTATGCTACTGATCCAGCGCCACTGAATAAAATAAATCTTTAGAAGAATAAATTACAATTTAGAATATTGCATACTTGAAAATTACTCAGAGAGAACTTAAGTGTTCTGACCATAACCAAGTGTGTATGGTGGTTAATATGCTAAGTTGATTGATGGCACCATTTCAGAAAGTGCTTCTGGTTCACTCCCCAATGGCCACAATGATCAGGGTTGGGCCAGGCCCAAGTCAGGAGCCAGGAGCTTCTTCCATGTTACCTACATGGGAAGTGGGTGCAGGAACTCAAACCATCTTCTTCTGCTTTTCCAGGAGAATTAGCAGGGAGCTGGATTGGAAGTGGGGCAGCCGGGCTAGGAATTTCCCCTAGATGGGTTGCCAGCTCTACAGGCTGTGGCTTAACCCCTTGTGCCATAGCTCTGGCCTTTGATGATTGTTTATCCCTCTTCTCTATACTCTTGCGGAACAGTGGTTTTTCTACTTAATACTTGTTGAATTCTTTATTTAGTGGAGGTTTAAGCTTGTGATTATAAAGTAATTTTAGGCATGTCATTGTAAGAATTAAAAGATAGATGGGGCTGGCACCGTGGCAAGTGGGTTAACGCCTTGGCCGGGAAGTGTCAGCATCCAGTACAGGTGCTGGTTTGAGTCCTGGCTGCTCCTCTTCTGGTAGAGCTCTCTGCCGTCACCTTGAAAGCAGTAGAAGATGGCCCAACTCCTTGGGCCCGTACACCCACGTGCAAGACCTAGAGGAAGCTCCTGTCTCCAGGCTTCGGATTGTGAAGGAAGAAGTGAAACTATCCCTCTTTGCAGATGATATGATTCATTATTTAGGGGATCCAAAGAACTCTACTAAGAGACTATTGAAACTCATAGAAGAGTTTGAAAAGTAGCAGGATATAAAATCAGAGCACAAAAATCAATAGAATTTGTATACACAGGCAATGCCATGGCTATTTACAGTAATAGTAAGCAGCAGAGGATAAAGTTTCCTCCAATGTCCTTGCTTTTATCTCCTCTTTATGTAATGCACGTCTTTGATATCCTTTAGCACATCATGCCTTAGAAACAGGGCTCAGCTGATGCCACATTTTGTATGGAGCAGCTCTGTGGTAGTGGTAAGTTGTGGGGAATGAAGTGACTAGTCTTAAATCTCAAGTGTTACTGAGCCTGTGTCCTTGGATTGTAACCTTCACCTGTGCTTTTCAGTGTTGTTTTGCTTTTTCATTGGGTGGAGGAAGAGGGGAGAAAGGTCAAGTCGCTATTTCCCACCACACAGGTTCATGTGATGGTAGAATACAAGTAGAAGACCTGGACGCACTCTGGAGTCTGAGGAGAGAACTGATTGTCAGAGAAATCAATTGGACTGCCTGAGGTGCTGGTGAGTGTTACCCACCTGAAAGATGTAGGCTTCCTGCATGTTGTTCATGTTTATGGTAGGTGGTAACATTCTCATATTAAGGAATATTCTTAAGGATGAAAAGGCCCATCCCAGATGAATTGTGAGGTCACCCAGATCTGCGAGATGCTAAGGGGCAAGTTGAGGAATGCACCCAATCATGCTTGATCTGATAAGTGTGTTTCCAGAGCCTCTTCCCTGCTTCTTGTGAAACAGGGTTCCTCTGAAGAAGGGCTGTCATCACAGGTTTTTGGAGTGGCCAAGCAATTGGCAAGTTTAACATTTCTTTTATGGAATTCCAAAGAGTGGCTGGGAGTGGGACACACCTAATGGGATAAAGGTCTTTTTGGAAGGGATGTATTTATTTGTCTTGGAAATGGAAGATAAACAATAAGTCTAGATGCTTGATATGTGTATGTTTCACCTCTGATGAAGATGAAATTATTGGAAATGGTAGAATTTTCCATGTGAAATAGTTCCTACTGATAGCAGGGAGGTTAGGCAAAGATAGTTTCACAATGTTGGAAAAATTCAGTAGGAACTTCATTGAAATCAGATACTTATTTTCCTATTTTGTTAGATTTAGAATGCCACCCACTAAAGACACTTTCTTTGAAACCTATTTTATGTGCATAGTGCCAGCTAGTGTACAGTTGTTTCTACTATATTGGGGTAATTTGGATTTGTGGAGTGCTCATCAGTATTAGAGATTGCTTTTATCTCCATCTAGTTAACCTTTGGAAGAATTTTGAAAATATCAAGAATTATATGATGTATTATGCAGAAGTTGTAAAAATCCCATTTTGGAAAATGGTATCATTTTCCTTTCAATTTTTATTTCATTTGTGTTTCCCTCTGAATCATATATACCACTTATAACTTGATTATTTTGCTATCACTTCTTGCTATCAAGTTAATTTGTATATGATCTATCAACAGCCTATCGGCAAAGCAAGCTGCTCAAGTATAACATATTGCTGTGTTCATTTATGTATTTCAGTCACAAAAATAAAGATAGGTTTTGGACAAAACGAAATAGTGGAGAACTATGTTCAGAGCAATGGAAGGATGCGATTTCAAGGAACGCATCAGGACACAGAAAGGTAAACTGCCTAAGCTTACTGTAGGATTCCCATTGTACACTTCAGATTAGAAGCAGGGCAGTAGGTTCTATCTTAGAAAGTCCAAATGCTGTGATGTGTACATGGGATTTCCTGTTGGGCCTTAAGTCATGAGTGTGCATGTTTGACACTAGCGGTTCACATGTCAGGCAAGTGAATGTGACGTCAGAAGACGAGGAGGTTTAGCAGGAAAATCTCAGCTGACTATCAAGAGGGAGGAACTAACAAATGTTCCTCCTCTAGTTGACATAAATCTGAGAACCGAATAAAATGCCTTCCCTTTCAAGGGTCTTAAAGACTCGTTTTCTAGTAGGAAATCCGTGATGTCTGATTAACCAACCACTTTAAGAAAAAGCAAATTGAGACACTCAGGATGTTGTACAATCAGAACTTGTCAAACCTCTCTTCTCACCTTTGTCTTAATGTCTTGAGATGTAAACGAAGCGGAGCCAGAGAAGCAGAGAACCTGAAATGCAGTGTGCGGAAACTGCAAGAAGGTATGCTGTTTTTAGGGAAGAAAGCGCACGATGGAAAAAATGATGTTTTTTGACACGGAGAAGGTGGAGTATAGTTTTCTGTCACCACTACTCACACCCTTCTCCTCAACTTATTCTATGCAAATCGTCAGGTCCAAGTTGACCCACAATCCAAACAGCTTCAATATGTTGACAACAAGTAAATAGAAGCCAAAGTACAAATATAATGCGCTAGCCAAACAGGAAGCTGTATTCAACATAGTGGAGGCAAGAGTGACACTCTTTGGGAAAACTACACAGAAAGAAAGATGGCCAGAGAAGCCTAAGTTTTTCCTATCTTCATTGATACCAGGCCATAGTATGAAGAATGTGTGCATCAAACTAGGCAAATTCTTGCCAAGAGCTTCTACCAAAGCCAGGGCCACTGCAGTTCCAAACGCTGTTTTATAGCCTTCCTGCTTCGATCCCCGTAACTTGCTTTGCTACTTCAATGCTAGAAGCTTTTTATACTTATTGGTGTATTGTGGAGACTGAGACAGGGTGATTCACTTCCTTATCTGGATAGGATAGGGTGCATGTTTATTTTCCCTTTAGCTTTCCATCCCAGCACACAGTGCCCCCCAGCCACATTAGCTTTCATGAAAGACAAAACATTGGCTAAAATGCCTAGAACAACCTAAGTCTGCTGTGGTACTATCCTCCTACAGAAAAGATGGGGACTTGGTTCAGGTAGATGGTCATTGGTGCTGGCAAGTGGGGATCTTCCTCACCCAGTGACAAAATGAGATCATCCCCTGCAGGCTCCAATGTAGTCCAGTGCATTTCCTCCTCTCCTTTGTTCCTAGTGTATTCTTGGTGCCCAGCAAAACCTATGCAACTCTCTACAGAGATTCAAGATTTATGGACTTGTATTGGTTATGCAGATTCAAGACTCAAGTTTCGTATTACTCCTTCTCCAGCCCGAGGCAAGAGTTGCTATGTCCTGTCTAGGATCGTAGCTTGTGCCCAACTGTGAGCTTGTTAGAGTAGGGATAGTGCCTCCCCCTGCTTTGTATTTTGCACCTTTTAGCACATCCTTGCACACAGGGCCTCAGTAGAATACAATGGCTGGCTGGCGGGCTTGCAAGGGTGGCCAGAAGGGAAGGCATTCGCTATCTCCTATGCCTCCTTGAATTTTGTAGGAAATCACTATTGGGGCAGCTAGCAAATTGGGAATCCTTTCAGTCCAAACCACGGACAATGGAGTTCAAGGGCAACCTAGCAAATGTCACCTTCTAGAAAGTGGATCTTTGCTGCCTGCCCTATTGTTGAGCTCTACCTTAAGAAAGTCGTGACACTGAGACGGTTTTCCAGACATAGATCCCGGTTTCCTGGAAATGACACCCTAACCATGAGACAGCTCAACGGTCGTACTAATTCTACAGTGCCTTTCTGAAGTCAGTGAACCGGGAAGTATGTGTCATTATCAAAACCTGGGTAATCAGCACAACACTCAGCACTGCCTGGCAGCCTGCATGTAGAGACTGTGAAACTACATGTGGAAGGAAGAGGAGATCAAGCCAAGTCGAGCAGCCCCTACTTCTCCTAATAGAGAATAGGAACTTCTCGATGTGAACGGAGAGGTTGCCTTTTTTTTTTCTTTGCCTTTTTGCACCTTTCGGACAGTTTACTTGCGTGATTGGACTTGGACAATGTTCCACCTTCTTTCCTTTGCCCATCATCGAGTCCTCTATCCCTTTCCATCCTAAGCAGAAACATGGAGGATGCACTAAAGGGTCATGGCTCAAGGTGGTGTCTTTTTGTTCCTCACTTCTTTACATGCTGGACAGTTCTCCTATCCCTGACCTGCATCAAGATCTTTCCCCTGAAATAGAAAGCTACTGAGGGCTAGGGATCCTTGACCTTTCACGTTTTCTGTTTATCACCACGTGTTTCAAAGGAAATTTTATTCCATGTTTTCTCTCTCTCTCCTGTAATCAGATGGTGGAGAACTATGTTCAGAGCAATGGAAGGATGCGATTTCAAGGAACGCATCAGGACACAGAAAGGTAAACTGCCTAAGCTTACTGTAGGATTCCCATTGTACACTTCAGATTAGAAGCAGGGCAGTAGGTTCTATCTTAGAAAGTCCAAATGCTGTGATGTGTACATGGGATTTCCTGTTGGGCCTTAAGTCATGAGTGTGCATGTTTGACACTAGCAGTTCACATGTCAGGCAAGTGAATGTGACGTCAGAAGACGAGGAGGTTTAGCAGGAAAATCTCAGCTGACTATCAAGAGGGAGGAACTAACAAATGTTCCTCCTCTAGTTGACATAAATCTGAGAACCGAATAAAATGCCTTCCCTTTCAAGGGTCTTAAAGACTCGTTTTCTAGTAGGAAATCCGTGATGTCTGATTAACCAACCACTTTAAGAAAAAGCAAATTGAGACACTCAGGATGTTGTACAATCAGAACTTGTCGAACCTCTCTTCTCACCTTTGTCTTAATGTCTTGAGACGTAAACGAAGCGGAGCCAGAGAAGCAGAGAACCTGAAATGCAGTGTGCGGAAACTGCAAGAAGGTATGCTGTTTTTAGGGAAGAAAGCGCACGATGGAAAAAATGATGTTTTTTGACACGGAGAAGGTGGAGTATAGCTTTCTGTCACCACGACCCTCACCCTTCTCCTCAACTTATTCTAAGCAAATCGTCAGGTCCAAGTTGACCCACAATCCAAACAGCTTCAATGTGTTGACAATAAGTAAACAGTATCCAGAGTACATTTTTATTGCATGAGTTCTGCAATAGGCTAACAAGAAGGTCATTTTACGTAGTTGAGACGAATCTGACACTCTTTGAGAAATTTAGAGTGCAAGAAAATGGATAAGGAAGTGCAAGTGCCTTCTATGAAGAATGTGTGGATCACATTCTTGAGAAGAGCTTCTACCACAATCAGGGCCACTTTTGGTCAACACACTGTTTTGCAATCTTCCTGCTTTGATCTCTGGATCTTGCTTTGCTATTTCAATTATAAAAGCTTGTTGTACTTATTTATGGATTTTTGAGACTGGGTGCATGTTTCTTTCTCTTTAGCTTTCCATCCTAGCACACTGTCCTCCCCAGCCACATTACCTTTCATAAAAGACACATCGTTGGCTAAAAAGCATAGAACAGCCTAAGTCTTTTGTGGTTCTCTCTCTACATACAGAAAAATGGGTACTTGGTGCAGGTGAATGGCCAATGGCAGTAGCAAGTTGGGATCATCCTCACCCAGTGACATACTGAGATGATATCCTGTAGGCCCAATGAAGTCACATTCCATGTCTCAGGCTGGATCTCTGTGGTTCTGGGTTGTCAGTGTTGTTGTGCCATCCTCTGTTTGAGTACCAGAACTCCCCAAGAGGAGTGAAAGAATAAAGACCCGTCATTCAAATGAGATTAATCAGTCAGGCCTTGTTTTCCACCTTGAAGGAGAGTGAGTGTTCCTTGCATGAGGGCCTCAGCTACCATGCATGTGATGACACTGTGCGTACTCATTGACTTCTTAACTCATGAGTAGCAGTGCAGAGTTTTGAGGCAACGTTTTGAATTGCAGAGAATTTGCCAGCAAGCCACACTCTGATTTTCCACTGTCCTTCAAAGCAAGGCTTCAATTCTTCCTTGCACTGTGTTTTTGTGATTGTGTGTTTCTAGGGAATGCAAGGATAGGGTCTTGGAATCAAAGCCTCAGACTAATTGAAGATCAGAGTGGCAGACTACCACATGGGTTTCTGGGAAGTACACACTTTCTTGTCATTGTAGGGAGCTGGCAAGGGAACAGCAGGAGCTGCTGGAAAGGAGAGCAGCTGTGAGATAAAGGAAAATCTGAAACTGGCAGAAGAAGAAATGACAAAATCCAAGTGGGTTCAGACTGAACACCCAGCACCACAGGTATCTGTATTGGATTCTGTTTTACCTCTGTATAATGCATAGGCCTGATAAACATAGAAATGCATACAAATGATCTGAAGACAGAGAGCAAGAACACACACCAGGAAAAACAACACTGCAAGTGAAATATTACTAATTGACAAAGGTTGTTGGTTACTTAGCACATGCTGATCCCTAATGCTGGCCAAATGCTGTGGAGGCTTGGCTCACGTGAATGTTGCTGGGGGTGGTGAAAGCTGCCATTGTCCTTAGGAAGGCAGTTTTCTGTAAGTCAGGTGACATCCATGAAAAACGAAGGTGTCATTCTGTTAATCTAGGTGTTGGCACTCCAAGAAATATGGGAAGATATCAGAAAAAGGAGAACAGGGCTTTATGCGAAAAGCTATATGAGGGAAGATGCATTAGGGAGATAGAACAGTTAGGGAGACTGCATCAACTCAGAACCCTTGGAGGTTTCTATTCTGGAAAGGGAAATGGTAGAGCCACGGCATAAATTCCACTGTGTCTTTGTAATCAATATATTTGATCTGTGTGCATGTATTGTGCACATGTGTGAGGATAATGGTTACATGGGCAGATGATGAGAAATCATAGTGAAAATGTTCTTTTTCTGATGAATGTGAATTTCATTCACAGGAGAAAAACTCAAGATCTGCAGGGACATTGGAGCAACAGTTGTCCATTGTCAGAGACCAGGTAATCTGCATCCTGCCCTGTCATTGCAGAGTCCTTCATCCCCTTATGCAGATGATTTAGGTGCCTGTTAGTATCCATCAACTTCCATTTTCTGATGTGTTTGCTTCTTCAGGTGGCTGTTTGGGAAAAGGCTCAAGGCAGTTGGGTAAGAATTTTCCTGTTCCTCCTTAATTGTGCCCAGCCTTCCACAAGTAAACCTGCACAGGCCTCCCCCTCACAGCTGAAGGCTTGTTCTTTAGAGAATGATGTATGGAACAAATGAAGGAGTAATTTCTCTTGAACCACCAGTACTGTATTTGGCAGATATTTGAAGGGTGTTTCTTTAGTTCTGAAGCTAAATTATTGAGTGAACAAAAAATTGCTCGCTGTTTTAATTGATACATAATGTGTTCATTTTCTGTCCTCAGGATTGGAAATAATGCAAATACAGAGGGAGGCCAAGACATCCAGGAGGCAGAAGGCAGGGTCTCACCAGGAGAGGACCCTGGGAAGGTAGGATGAGCGGGAAGGGTTGAGCTTCACTTCCATGGCAGAATCCACACCCCTGCCTGTTCTGTAGTGAATGTTAGGTTTACAGAGAACAGTCCTGTCCACTTACTGAAGATAAAGTGTTGTCCTGCCTGTGACGAAATGCTGTTTTCCTCAGGTACCCTGGTTCCAAGCCAGGGCTGCATCCCCATGTGTCAGGCTCCTTGTCTGACAGGGGAATTTCCCACATAGCAGACATCTTGGTGATTCTTAGCAGTAGAGAAAAGCCTAGAGGGGAAGTGGGCCAACACCTCCTTCCCACCTTGAGTCAATGGTGGATACACCGACAGGATTCCAGAACAAAAGCTGTGTGTTCTGATGAATGATCCAATTATTTTTATTGTCTTCCAAAAATAATGTTTTTCCAGGTATGATTTAATGCATTAGGTGTTTACTATTTTTGCCTCGTTTTGTTGAATTTTATTGTCAACTACAGAACTCTATGAGTAACTTAAATTTCTCTTGCAATTTCATTCCTGTAACATAAATGTAACCCTTAAATATTACCATGAACTCCCATAGCACTTTTTATTTGGGCATCACACCAAATATTTGTTTAAGTCCATTTCTGTTCATAAATATTTATGTAACACAAGGTCACATAGGAAAGTTGATTTCATGTAGATTCAGTTTCTCAAATTTCACCTGTGGTTCACAGGCCTGGCCCTTCATCTGCACTGGGATAATTGATTTTCTTTCTATTCAAGGCTGTTCTTACTGGAGTTTTTAATTGGTTCTTGAATTGTAGTATCCCCTTTTGTTTTGGGTACCCATTTTTTCATGTAGGCTTCCTGTTGCACTGAGTCTGGCCCTGTCATCATTGGGATAACTGGCTGGGAAAGCCCCTGGCTGGGTTCAGGTGCTTTTATTCCCAGGGGACAGGTTGTTCCCTTCCCGCATTAGCTCCAAAGCTGAATTGTAGTACTCAGTAAAGCCTGGGCCTCTGTAAAATGGTTCTGATGAAGGATTGAGGGTAAGTTTTTTTTTTTTTTAGTTTTTATTTTGAATGCATTTTTCATAGATACTATTTTAGGAATATAATGGTTCTTTTCCATTTACCAGCCCCATCCCAGCTCCCATCCCACCTGCCTCTCCGTCTCCCATCTCCTTCTTCATTATGGTTCATATTTAGTATTTAGTATGTCTTTATATACAGATGGCTAACTCCATGCTAAGCATAGGTTTGAACAATTTGCACTCAGGCACATATAGAACATACAGTGTTCAGTTTTGGGAAGAATGTCTGCAGCTGATTCTCATATTACAATTCATTAGGGACAGAGTTCCTACATGAGGAGCAAGTGCACAGTGACTACTGTTGCTTTTTTTTTTTAACAGTTGACACTTTTTTTTATGATGTCAGTGATTGTCTGAGGCTCTTGCCATTGGCTAAAGCTATTTAAGCCTTCTGTGACCATGGACTCCATTAGTATTTGAACACAGCTATAAGCAAAGTGGATGTTCTCCCTTCAGATTATGGTATCTTTCGTTGAAGACCCTTTTTTTCCCCTGAGGTCTCACAGAGATCCTCCATGTAGGATAGTTTTGTCACAAGTCTTGGCTTTCCATGCCTGCACTGATCTCACAGGCCTTTCAACCCAACCAGGATGCCTTAAGGGTTGATTCTAAGGTCAGAGTGTTGTTTACATTGAATGTCATTCTAGGCATCTGCTGTGTGGACCGCTTTCCATGATGGACTGATCTATATGTTGTTTTTTAAATTTTATTTATTTATTTATTTATTTTGACAGGCAGAGTGGACAGTGAGAGAGAGAGACAGAGAGAAAGGTCTTCCTTTTACCGTTGGTTCACCCTGCAATGGCCGCTGTGGCCGTCGTGCTGCGGCTGGCGCACCGCGCTGATCCGATGGCAGGAGCCGGGTACTTCTCCTGGTCTCCCATGGGGTGCAGGGCCCAAGCACTTGGGCCATCCTCCACTGCCTTCCTGGGCCACAGCAGAGAGCTGGCGTGGAAGAGGGGCAACCAGGACAGAATCTGGCACCCCTACTGGGACTAGAACCCGGTGTGCTGGCACCGCAAGGTGGAGGATTAGCCTAGTGAGCCGCGGTGCTGGCTATATGTTGGTTTTAACATTTAATATGATAATTTTAACAGTGAAGATGGCATTTATGCCACTGATTCTCATTGGTTTGGAGACCCATGTCAAGTTTATTTTGTATCCTTAGAGGTAAGTCTGTATGACTGTGTGCAGAACTTTACTATTTTACAGTTATAGACTACCTCCTCCATCTCTTATTCCCCTCTAATTTTTAACTGAGGTCTTTTTCCAATTGTCTTAAAATACATATGATTAAATCTATATTACATAGAGAGTTCAGCATATAGTATAAAAAATAGAAATGAGATTGAAAGAAAGAAAACAGAGAAAAAAACCAAACCAAATGAAACAAAAAGGATATACACAGTAAAAAGTCACAATGGTAGTCTGTCCCTCAACAGTCAGGTCAAGGACCATTGAAGACACTGATTATAAAAGTGACAATTTCGTCTCTATAGCTTTCATTTAAATATGCTATTAATTTTCACAAATCAGGGAGAACATATGGTGTTTGTCTCTTTGGGACTGGGTTATTTCACTAACTATGAGGTTTTCCTGCTTGCTCCATTTTGTTGCAAAGGACTGTATTTCATCCTATTTTTACTGCCATGTAATATTCCATAGTGTACATATTGAACAAATTCTTTATCCAATCTTTGGTTGATGGACATTTATGTTACTTCCATGTCTTAACTATTGTGAATTTAGCTGCAATAAACATGGAGATGCAGATAGATCTTTTGTTTCTTGATTTCATTTCCCTGGGATAAATTCTCAGGAGTGAAATGGTTAGGTCTATATTCAGATTTTTGAGGTATCTCCATACAGTTTTCCACAGTGGCTTTAAAGTTTACATTCCCAGCAACAGTGGGTTAGAATGCCCTTTTCCACACATTCTCTCCAGCACGTGTTGTTTGTTGATTTCTGTATGAGGGCCACTCTAACTGGCATGAGGTGAAAACTCATTGTGGTTTTGATTTGCATTTCCCTGATGGCTCCACCTTCTAGAGCTTTGTTTATTTCTGGAAGCTTAAGGAGGCAGGTACTTAGGGAGGTAGCTGCCTGGGCGTTGATATAATACTAAGACATACCCCTGGGGCCAGTTTCTCTGTTCCTTTGTCACCCCAAAGTGCCTGGGCCTGCATTGTTCAGCCTTCCTCATTGCTGTGCCTCATGCCCGATGAGGGGGAAGTCACTCTGAACCACTGTGTTTTTTGATCCTTGTTGGGGTGGCCCCCACAACTGATGTTTGTGTGTAGGTGTTGAAGCACATCCTGCGCCTGCATTGGAGATTGTAAACAATCAAGATTGCGGCTCCCCTCCCACTGCAGCTCTGCTTCATGAACTGGCTGACTGTGGATGAGATTTCTGTTTCCCTGGCTGTCTCTTCTCTCTGAGATTGAAAGCAGTTTTTCTGTGAGGAAGATGAGACCATATATCATGCCCAATGTTCTAAGAACTAGAGACAGACCAGGAAACACTTGAGAAAGTTCTCCCTAGAGTAGATGGCACTGTCTATGTGGAGGGTGCCTTTTTTCTCTTCTTTTTCTGCTCTTAATATGAAAATAAGGAGCTTCAGTGATGAGGGGCTGTGTTGGTCCTGGACATGGATACCCTATGTCTTGGGATTTCTCTTATTTAGTTCACTATGACTGTGAGTTTCCTAGTATTGGAATGTTCCTTTCCCACATTAGCAGACACAGGCAGTGAAGGGTAGTG